ATATATATATATATATATATACCATTTTTAACTAAAATACAGAGGCAGTTGGAAAAGCCAAATTACTAAAATTGAATTGCATGAAATATTTCGTGTAAATAGTTTATGTAAATAACTTAATTATCTGTACTTTAAACAAAAATTGGCAACGCCGTCATCACCCGCAGGCTCGAGAAGGTCTCGCTAATGAAAAAATATTGCCTTACAGTCAAAACCCTTCCCCTTCTTATAGATTCCAGCCCGGCGCTGAAATTCCACGCCTCCAGCCGGGAATTCTCCACCTGTAACCTTTTGCTCGGTTGGTGAAGGCCACGCGGCAACCGTTAGCGGTCAGAGAGAGGCAGTACAAGGTGCAGGAAGCGTTTGGAGATCGCCACCCAACGCCTCTGAGGTTTTTGTTAGCCATTTTTTATTTTTTCATGTTCAGTGGGTGTCGTGATGGCGTGGAACTTGTTTAGATTCTGCGCTGCGCTGCGTGTGCGTGTGCTTGGTTCGGTTATGATTTTGTTGGTGCTTGCCGTTGTGGGTTTCACTTACTACGCCGTCGTCGTCACCAATTACTGGCCCGCTGTGCTCGCAGGCGGCGTCAATTCTTACTATGCTTTTGCGATACTGATACCCTTCCATCTTCTGGTAAGCTCGTTTCTTCACACTTGCTGAATATCTTGGTTCACGAACTGGATTTGTCGGTTTGAGATTTTGTTGGATTGTTCTGTCTTGTCCTGAGATTTATCTCAGGAAATTATGGTTTCTTTCCATGTTTGAAATTACGCTCTCTCATGTGTGGCTTTCGTTAGCAAATTTTCTCTGCTAATTGCATTATTGGTTTTTGGATCTTCCTGCTCCGACATGAGTTATTTATATTAGTGTAAATTTGATGGAGAATTTGATTTTGTGAAAGTACTTTTCTGTGCAGCTGGTGATGCTTCTATGGAGCTACTTTGCAGCAGTCCTCACCAATCCTGGTAGAGTCTCTTCCAATTGGAGGTCCGATGTGGATGAGGAAAGTGGAGATCCTCTTGTTTTGACGGGCTTAGAATTAAGCAAGCCAATGCTTAACTTGCAGCAAACTGCAAGTCTTGTGGGTTCCGGGATTCAAAAGATCCGATACTGTAGGAAATGCAACCAGTTGAAGCCCCCACGCTGCCATCATTGCTCTGCTTGTGAGCCTTTATTTTTTTTCATTCTTTCTTCTATGTCCACTGTTTCCCTCCTTCACCTCCCTTAACTCCTTACGCAGTGTTTAATGCATGTTTTCGCTTATCTAGGTGGAAGATGCATATTAAAAATGGACCATCATTGTGTGTGGGTCGTAAATTGTGTTGGCGCTTTCAATTATAAATTTTTTCTTCTTTTTCTGGTAAGTTCTGTTGATTGAAATTTCCAGTTATTGGTAGCTATTTCTGTTTCTCTAGATTATGAGCATTCTGAACTTAAAATCTTAAGTATTTAATACTTACATAATTTACTTTAAAATTTGTACTTGTTATCAAAAGATAGATTTTGATGCTGCATGTGTTATGCATGGTGACTGCAGATTAATTCTTGTTGGAAGAATTTATTTTTGCCAACAGTCATATTCCAAAGCTTAGTTATAACATTAGTGAGATAATAGAAATTACTGACAGTTATATTTGTGGTTTATTTCATGTAGGGGCATCTAGCCTGATCACCTAATACTTTTTCTTTATTTCTATTTTGGTATAAAACCAGAAAACTGAATCTATTAATTAGATTGCTTCCTTTGTTCTTTCAAGAAAACACTTATAACTCCTTGCACGCCATGGAGAGCAGAGTAGCTCTACTTATTCTACATTATTGGTTCAATCCATAGCTAGAACTTGAGGTGTAGTCATGGCTTCAAGGGAAATCTTTGCATTTCTATTTGAAGTTGAAGAAGAGAGTAGTTTCCAGAGATGAAATATATTAAATTAAAGGGTCTGCATTGGCGTACTAATAAAGGAGGGACCTGTTATTAATTGATTTTGAGGTTTTCATTTGTATATGTGTGCAAAATGTATATTTACATGATTGGCTATATCATACAAGGTTTAATAACTTTTCTGTTCTACTATCGTCAAGATGTTTTATATGTCATACTCGATGGTATATCCTTTCATTCTGTTTTTTTTTTGTTAAATGTATGCATACTCGATGGTATATCCTTTCATTCTGTTTTTTTCTTGTTTTTTTTATGTGACATAACTTGTACTTTTCCAATCATGCAGTTTTACACATTCCTCGAAACTTCCTTTGTTACAATAATATTATTGTCCAATTTCATCACCTTCTTTAATGAAGGAGAGATTCCTGCTTCGCCTGAATCTCTAGCGACTACTTTTCTCACATTTGGTGAGTATAAACCATCTTTGTGATCATCTTCTTAAGATTGCTAAGATGTTTCCTCTTCACTTAATTATTTATTCCATCTCCCTTTTCTCAGTGCTTAATTTGGCGTTTGCTTTGAGTGTTCTTGGCCTCCTAGTAATGCATTTGTCATTGGTGGCGGCTAATATCACAACAATTGAGGCAAGTTTCGAACTTAATTTATTTCATTGACATTTTTTCGAGATGTTTTTAGTTATAGTTTTTCTCTCACCTTAGGCATATGAGAAGAAAACTACTCCTAAATGGAGGTATGATCTCGGACGAAGGAAGAATTTTGAGCAGGTTTGTGCTTCCTGTCTTCTTTTCTTCCCCTCTTGTGAAAGTTAATCGGTAAATATTTTTATATCGCCCTCGCACTCTCCTATAAGCATCTCAAAATTGTTTAAAATGAGAAGAGAAATCGAAAATATGTCGTCACCAAGAAGAATACTCGTTATGGTTGCAAACTTCCATTTTCGCACTGACACTATAGTTACAACCTCATGTAAGCCATTCTCTTTCTCTACCTTCTTTTGGTTAGAACGTTAACATTATGGGCAGTCTCCCAGCAGTTTTAGTAAATCATGTAAATCCAAATTTACTAATAAATTCTACCAATACGTTTAATAAATTTAGGATTTAAGACAAACTGAGATGAGTTGAGAAGCAACTGTATCACAAAATCTGGTATTTAAAATTTATCCTTTTTTTCTGTCTGGATAGATTTAAGTTAAATCATACTTAAATCCATTAACAGCAGCCCCTCATTGTGTTCTTGTTGTGATTATTATCTGTGTACCAGGTGTTCGGAATCCACAAGCGGTTTTGGTTGATCCCGGCTTATGCAGAAGAGGATTTGAGAAGGATGCAAACTCTGCATGGCCTAGATTATCCATCCAAGCCAGAATCAGATTCTCAGCATTATTGATAACCAGGATTATCCATCTAAGCCAGAATCTCTAACTCTCTTCTCGAATGCTCAAGTTTCATTTTATTTGGATTCAACGATTTTTATTTCGGGTCTAGCCGTGCTTGTTGGGGCGGTGAAGGGGCTCGAAAGTAGCAACGAAAACATAGGTGAAGGTTGTTGGAGAAGTGGACTGACTGGTGGAAGACCTGACTAATGTGGCACAATGCTTAGAAAGGTTACAATAGTGATCTGCTTAGCTGTTATATATTCCAGGTAGGAGCCATGGGTTCTGGTAAATATACTGTGCTTTCCAACCTATAACATTATTGATTTTTTTTTAAAAATATTTTCATGGTTTATACAGAGAAAATCTCAACGTTTTATTTTTGTTTAATTGGGATGAGCCAATAGATTTGTTATATATATATATATATATATATATATAGATAGATTGATTGATTGAGAGAAAGTCCAGTATTTCATGATGTATTGTCAATTTTATGTAACATGGATAGATTTTGTTATGTTTGCTCCATTTCATCTATTACATGTCCTAAGGCCCAACTTGGGGCACTTTATGTGGTGCGTTGCATTTTCAAAACGCACGCAGGGCCGTTTGGTAAACTGCGTTTTGACAATTTTTTCAAAAAATTACATTTTCAAATCGCTAAAATCAGCGTTTTCATTCACACCATTCCGAATTAGGTGTGGTGACAGTTTTCTAGCTACGGTCTGGTTTTTCCAAAAAAAAAAAAATTATAATAACCACCGTAGCTTTTTGAACAACAGATTATTTTTCAATAGCTTATCAGCAGTTTATTAATAAGTTGTAGATGTCCCAAACAAATCCTAAACTGAAATCTAACCTTCTTTTCTAGTTTTCAAGTTTGGTGGTTATTTAGGGAACTTGAGAGTATTTAGCAGAAACTTATCGAAGTTATTATGTCTATTGGTGAATAAAATATTACGTCCAGATAATTGGACGTGCGGACGATAGCCTGTATCGCACCATATCCTGTACACATCAGTGTGGCGTCATCTAGGTTGTTGTCTAGATGTCCGGACGACGACAAATGTATTATTTTCTCATACTGGTGACTGGTGGGGTTTTCTCTCGCATAATTTCATGTATTGATTTTTAAATTAAGTTTAGCCCAAAGTTAGTGGTTTTTAAACAGCATAATCTTATTGAAACTCTTGTAGAGGTGATTAAATTGAAATTAAGGATTTATTTGGGATCATTTTTTTTTATGAAAAATATGTTCATTTTAGTATATTTTCTTCATGTAAATTAATATTTTGTTACAATATTCAAAACATTAATAAATATTTTGAGTGTTTGAAAAAAAAAATTATATTTTATTTTACTTTATCGAATATGTTTATTGTAAACCAAAATATAAATAAAATTAAATAAACTTATAAAAAAGTAAATGAAATGATCTAAAGAATTTGAGTTTCATGTGAACATTCTGGGTTCTGAACAAAATTTTGCCGGAGCATCCTAAATGTTCTATTAGAGAAGTCTATGTAATTAAGATTCATCAAACTTTACGTTATAATTTTTGCTCTAATTCGACAAACTTTTGTTTAATATTTAATAAAAATTTATAACAAAAAAAATTAATGAAATGAATTCAAAATTATAAATCTGAAGTTGATGAAGCTATAAATTAAAATAAAGAACATAGGATTGAAATCAAATCATAAAATCTTGATTTTGAAATCTAACGGCTATAAATAAATTGTAAATAAGTTGGGTTGAACTCCAAACTGCATTAAACTTGAGCTCAATTAATGGGAAAATTATTACACGCGGCCGATCATATTTCCGGAAGATGATCGGGATACAATCGCACGACAGCTCATCCAAATTGTCGACTCCAAGCTAACAAATAATTAAAAATCGATTCCTCAAAATGATTGAAAGTCACTCGAGCATTTTGTCGCTGAATAGATTTTGAAAACCCATCAAAACACAATAAAACAGAAGAAAAAAAAATATGAATCGATAAACTCTTACCAAACAATTTGATTGCCCACATAAATTCAAATTATGTTGAATTAAGACACGGGACATAAGCTGTGAAAAATCACCAAATGTCATTTTTTTTTAAATTTTGATGTGTGATAGAAAATTCGCAGCGGTTGAGTAGCAAACTATCGTTTTAGCGTTGTACGGAGTTTAACACACACACAGATGAAAGAGTAACAAGCGGTGATGACTCCAGAAGGTTTTACATGGAAAACCAGTAAAGGGAAAAACCACATGGTCTAGCCCAGTCGCGAAAATTCACTATTGAATTGATGATTACAAAAATCACTTATCCCACAGACGGGAAAATAATAATTATATTTTCAGATTACAACGTTAACTGACGGTTGGCAGGGGCCGACGACAATTGGAGGTGGTTGATGACAAAGGTCGGTGGTGGTCTTCGGTGGTCGGTGATGGTCGATGGTAATCGGCGGTGGTTGATGACGGAGGTCGACGGTGGTCGACGAATATCGACGGTGATGTTGAGTTGCAGTTTCTCCTCAAAGTCTCAGGTTCTCTTTCTAGACTCAGCTTCCCCTCATGTGAGGGGTAGAGGTCTATTTATAATGTTCTGACTCCTTTTTGAGCCACCCCATCTGCTTTAAAATATGGAACCACTCACATTTGACTCTGTCTTTTCCTCCCCCTCAATGTACGACTCTAGCTCCTGGTCTGCTTCCCCCTTTCATGAAGAAAATAGAGCTCTATTTATAGATTCTGGGAGTGTTCTCTTCAATAAACAAGACATTAATCCATACCACTCTATCGGATGACCTAGAACAATTCTCTTAATTGAATGAAATTTTAAAGACAATTGAGTGACTTAATGATATCAGAATTGAGTGATCTTAAGTTCGTTGAATTTTCTCCTCGAGCGAGTCAATTTAATTATAAGTTAGTTGAAATCAAAGTCTTAGATGATTTTTAATTTAGATTTGAAATTTTATTGCCCAAAAAATGTCTCGAGATTCATGTCGAATGATAAAAATTTATTGATAGCCTCAAGTTTTAAGTATGGTAAAAATTATATATTTACATATCAAGAGGGGTTGAGCAAAACTACTAAATTATTTAAACTATATAAGAAAAATTAATACATTAAATTTTATTATTTGTATAGAAAAATTATAAATTTTGGAGACTATAATTATATAAGAAAAATTAATATATTAAATTTTATTAACCTAGTTAGCCCATACTTGATTTGTTATAAGATTTGAACTTTTCTTGCTCAAAATATCATCTCGAGATCCGTGTCATATCTCGAGATTCATGTCGAATGATAAAAATTTATTGATAGCCTCAAGTTTTAAGTATGGTAAAAATTATATATTTACATATCAAGAGGGGTTGAGCAAAACTACTAAATTATTTAAACTATATAAGAAAAATTAATACATTAAATTTTATTATTTGTATAGAAAAATTATAAATTTTGGAGACTATAATTATATAAGAAAAATTAATATATTAAATTTTATTAACCTAGTTAGCCCATACTTGATTTGTTATAATGAGCGAACGTCCGGAATCTGTACATACGGATTGATAATATACCCATATATATACCTTAATATCATTACAATTTCATTAAATTCCTATCTATCATATCCTTAATATTTTTTTCGTAAAAAATAATATTCGGGGGTGCTGTGTATATAATTAGCCCAAAAGTTTATTACCAGTTTAAGCAGGGCTGATCATTTCTGGTCGGTCAGGAGAGAACGGTAAATGCTAACCATTTCTTCTTTCCGGCTATTTCGCGGCTCTTCTATAAATAGCAAAGAAACAAACAAAAATGAACCTCTTTTTACGTTCCCTTCTTCTCTTTTCCTTCATCCCATCTCCCGAGCTTTCTCCATTGCAAGCTCCATTATCGATCGAGGCCGGAATCTGAAGAAATAAAGCAGAAATAATCATGTCTCTGGAAGTCACTCCGGAAGATTTCTACAAGAATGTGACGGCGAAGCAGGAGAGGGTGTTCTGCTTCCACGCCATTATGACGACGTCGTCCGGCGTGTGGCTATCGGACAACACCCTCTTGTTCTCGCTTCCCCTTCTCCTTTACCAGATAGTCATCATCTTCATCTTCACCCGCATCACCCACTTCGTCCTCCGCCGCTTCTCCATTCCCATCGTCATTTCGCAGATTATAGTGAGCTCCCCTGTTCTCCCCATCGTCATTTTTTTTTTTTGCAGATTGATCGAATGTTAATCTTTTTTTTTTTTTTTTTGTTAATGTGAATGCGCAGGGTGGGATTATACTGGGGCCATCCTGTTTGGGCCGGTTGAAATCCTTCGAAAGGCTTCTCTTCGCCCCCCGCAGCTGGGAGCAGCTCAACACGATCTCCATCTTCTCCTTCATGCTCTTCCTCTTCCTCATCGGTCTCAAGACCGAACTCAGCATGATCCCAAAGGCAGGTAAAAAAGCCTTCGCCGTCGCCATCTGCTCCTCCTTCCTACCCTCCGGCATTGTCTTGCTCGCCGGCATCCTCTTGAAATCCCACATCCCTTTACGCTTCAAAGAGACATTCATCATCGTCAACTTAGCCAGCTCCTGGAGCATGACTTCCTACACCGTCGTCTCCTGCGTCCTCGCCGATCTCAATCTCCTGACATCGAAACTCGGCCGCCTCGCAATGTCCGCCACACTAATCACCGAATTCACCAACCTCTTCATCTCCGCCGTAATCGGGTCTTACTTGGTGGGAAGCTATAGCGGTTCCGTTTTACTGGGAGTGACGACAATGGCCGCTTTTCTAGGGTTTATGGCGTTTCTGGTGTTTGTGGCGAGGCCATTGACGATCCTGGCGATAAAAAAAACAACGCCGGAAGGGGGAATGCTCGACGAGGCCTGTTTCGTGGGGGTGATATTGCTGGCGATCGGATGCGGGTTTCTGAGTGAGTTGATTGGGTATCACGCAACAATGGGGCCGTTTATGTTGGGGTTGATGTTGCCGGGAGGGGCGCCATTGGGGGTGACGATGGTGGATAAGTTGGAGAGGTTGGTGGTGGGGGTATTTTTGCCGGTGTTTCTGGCGACGGCGGGGTTGAGGATGGATTTGTGGACATTGGGGGATCGGGTCGGGGAGTGGATGCTGCTGTTCTACTACCTCATGCTCGGCGTATTGGCGAAGTTTCTGGGGGGAATGTTGCCCTGCTTCTATTGCAGGATGCCGATTAGGGAGTGCCTGGCGGTGGGGTTGATGATGATCAGCAAAGGGATTTACGAGATCGATGCGTCTTGCAGGTGGCAGGATGCAAGGGTTAGCCCTTTCCTTAATTTTCGCATATTCATGAAAATTTAACCTAAAATTAGAAAAAGAATCGCCAGTTAATTAATTAATCTTCTTGCAGATTGTAGACAGGCAGCTATTCACCGTGCTGGTCCTGGCAATCGTGGCCGTCGGCGGCGGCTCAGCCCCACTCATCAAACGCATCTACCGCCCCGAAGACCGCTTCGTCGCCTACAAACGCCGCGCCATCCAATTCCTCAGAAGCAACAGCGAGCTCCGCATCCTCACCTGTATCCACGGACAAGATCACGTAAACGCCATGCTCACCCTCCTCGACAGCTTCCACCCCACAATTATCAACCCGGTCTGTCTCTACGCTCTCCATCTCAAACCTCTGGCCGGCCGCGCCGCCACGCTCCTCACCCCTTACAACCGCCGCCGCAGCACCGCAGTTGTGGTGTGGCGCCCACCGCCTCCTCCGACACCGAACGCATCTTCAATGCGTTCCTTCGGGTGGAACAGTTATACAGTGGATGCTCCATTCTTCCTTATGTCTGCATATCTCCCTACACGGGGATGCACGAGGATATCTGTTCCCTCGCGCTCGATAAAAAGGTCGGTTTTTTGTTGTTTTATTTTATTATTATTTTTTTTAATTGTGAGTTTTTTTAACAATGTTATTAAGGAAGAAAATAGTATTTTTTTAATAATGTTATTAAATTAAAATTCATATTGCAATCATTAAAAAACTAATAATAATTCTACGATTTAACTTATTTAAAAGTTTATTCTAGCATTTTTAGGCGTGTAAACGAACCGAACACGAACACGAATGAAAAGAGCTTGTGTTCGTGTCGGTTCGTTTGAAATTTAATTTGTTTGAAATAAGCTTGTGTTTGAAAAATAAGCTTTTTGAAATAAGCTTGTGTTTGAAATTGTTCGTGAAGGCATTGTTTGTGTTCGTTTCTTAACGAACGAGCCGAACACAAGTCGAACACGAGTTGTTCAAGAACAACAAGTCAGTTTGACATCCCTAATATTAATATATATATAAATTGTATATTATATTAATTATATAACTTATATTATATAAATATATAATATATATGAATATATTACTAATATAGTATATTAATATATTATTTTTACTATTTTATTATATATTATAATTTATAAAATTTAATTTTTTAAATACCATAAATTATATATATATATAATTATTTTAAATTATTTTTTATTTCGAACAATAATGATTGGAACACGAACGAACGCATCACTGTTCTTATTTGGTTCATTTAACTAACCAAACGAAAAAAATCTGTTCATATTGGTCTCGTCTATTTATTGAATGAATGGAACACAAATTCATTTAGGAACCCAATACAAATTATTCAGGAACAACGAACTTTTTTTTTACAGCCGTAGTTTATTGGATATGTTTGACTCGTTTTCTTTCGATAATATGTATCCTCTTCATTATAATACTTCTAGTTTTAATATTAATTATTTACAAATTTGCAGGTCTTCCTGATCATCGTCCCGTTTCACAAACAACTCGCCATAGACGGCTCCGTCTCCACCCCTATCCCCGCCATCCAATCCGTCAACTCCTCCGTCCTCCGCTTTGCTCCCTGCTCCGTCGCTGTTCTCGTCAACCACGGCCTCGCAACAGAGTCATCCGCCTTCCGCTCCGGCGGCATTCCCCACGCGGCCGTCTACTTCTTTGGTGGACCTGACGACCGGGAGGCGCTCGCTTGCGGTCTCCGAATGTCCGAAAACTCCTCCGTGAGGCTCACCGTCGTGAGGTTCCGGAGACCTAATGCGGCGGTGGAGGGAACGGATGAGAGAATGGATGAAAGAATGCTGGAGGATGTGAGGATAAGGAAGGCGGATGGGAGCAGAGTGGTTTACGTGGAGAAGGTGGTGAGAGATGGCGAAGGGACGGTGGGGGTGATAAGGGAGATAAGTGGGAGGTTCAGTTTGCTGTTGGTGGGAAGAGGGGATGGAAAGGAGACGGAGATGACGTCGGGATTGTCGACGTGGAGTGAGTTTGCGGAGTTGGGGACTATAGGGGATTTGTTGTCTTCGACGGATTTTGGAGGGAGGGTTTCAACTTTGGTTCAGCAGCAGAGGAGGGTGGCGGGGAGTGGGGCGCCGGAGACTGTGAGGATGGGTAGGATGTTTAAGGATGGAGTTGATGAGGACGATGATTGATTCCATGAATGGGCAAAGTGAAGCTTTTTGAGGAAATTTATAGTCTCTGGTTCGATGAGTCAACGTTGGTCTCTGTTTTTTAGAGTTAAATTTGTGAACTTTTAGGTTTTATTATTATTGTTATTCATTTTAATCAGCTCAGTGTTGTGCGAATTTCAATGAGTTCAGCATTGCAACGTTTATTTATGTATTTGTTTTTTTTTTTTTTTTTTTACATTAGCTTGAACAAATGTATTAATTGTTCTTAGTGGCGAGTATGCAGTGTATTTTAGCTTGGTGCTTGTGGAAGACAATCTTGTTGCAACATTACACTCCACAATTAGCTTGTGCCTTTATTTTATCATATGTTCTTAATCTTGACTCTTATATTGAAACATGATCTTGGAATGAGCCATATTTGTGGTTCACAAATTAGAGAATGAACTTTCATAGTATTTGATGAAGAATCAATATATGACACAATTTAGGGGTATTAATTCGAGTTTATCAGTCAGATTCTGGTCTTTTCTGAATTTGACTTGACCTAAAATTGCTTGAATCAAACCCAATCATATTAAAATGGTTAGGAAGTCCAATCCGAACCCAACATGTATGCTTTCAACCCGTTGATCCGAACCTAAGTGTTTTACATTTTTAACATAAGGTATAATATTTATTTGGGTAAAATTTAGATCAACTTTGGGTCAATTTTGGATTGGCGGGTCGATTTACACTATATGGGAAAAGTGTTATAAGTAACGACAAAATTGACTACTTAAATTGTCGTCGGTAAAAAATGTCATGTATTCTGACTTTTTTTGCGAAGTTTTATAGGTTGAGTTATTTCCTACTTCATAACAACAAGACATGTTGTCGCTTATGAACAGTAGATTAATCTCAGATGGTTTTTATTATAACCGACGCATTTCATTGTCGTTTACAAGCACATAATAACCGATGATCATATGTTGTAGGTTATTTACGATTCCATCAATTGGTCGGGAGTTAACTGACGAGTTTTTTTAGTTATCGAAGGTCAATGTTATTGGTATTACTGTAAATAATTCATGGATTTGAAGCCATTTGTAAGCTGTTGGAAAGAATCCTTTATATCGTTGAAATTTGTTACGCCACCAAACTTTCCCTAATCTTAATCCCTTTTGGTCTCTCCCTCGCTCTCGTGCCCTAACCCTGCCCTTCTCTCTCACGGTGACTCCAGCGTCCTGTTAACTCAACTCTGGCGACTCACCCCAGCTTCGACGCTCTGGCATTAACCGCAACGCTCAAAGGTATGGTTAGTGACGTAGAAGGGGATGTTATTAGTAGAATTCAATTTGGTTGGTTGAAGTGGAAAAATGCTTTGGGTCTATTCTGTGATAGAAAAGTACGACTTAGACTAAAAGGAAAATTTTATAAGATGGTGGTGAGACCTGCAATGCACTATGGCACAAAATGTTAGCCTTTAAAGTATAAGCATAAAATTAAGCTAAGTGTTGTCGAGATGAGAATGCTTAGGTGGATGAGTGACTTTACACTTAGAGATAAAATGTGAAATAAATATATATGTGAAATGGTTAGTGTAGCTCATGTGGCGGATAAAATTAGAGAGAATCGTCTTAGATGGTTTGGTCACGTTAAACATAGATCATCAGATGAACTGGCTAGGAGAGTAGATGTTTTAGATTTGACTTATGTTAAGAAGGTCAAAGGTAGACCACCTACAAAAACTTAAGTGTATTGCATAGAAAATGATTTTAATTTATTAGAATTAGATGAAAATATTACACTCAATAGGATGCAATGAAGAAAAAGGATTCATGTAGCTGACCCCACATAGTGGGTGAAAACCTTGTTGTTGTTGGTGGTGAAACCTGCAAATGCTCTATGGCATATAATGTTGGCCTTTAAAAGAAAATCATAAAATTAAGTGTTGCTGAGATGAGAATGCTTAGGTGGATGAGTGGCCTTGCATTAGAGATAAGATATGAAATGAATATATCAGTAAGGGTTAGTGTAGCTCCTGTGACAGATAAAATTAGAGAGAGTCATTTTAAATGGTTTGGTCACATTAAATGTTGACCATCTAATAATCCGATTTGGAGAGTAGATGTTTTAGATTCGATTTATGTTAATAAAGGCAGAGGTAGACCTAAAATGATTTGGGCATATTGTATAAAAAATGATCTTAACTTATTAGAATTAAATGAAAATATAACACTCAATAGTACACAGTGAAGAAAAATGATTCATGTAGCCGACACCCTACTTAGTGGGATACATGCTTATTGTTGTTTTTTTTGTAGAGATACTTAAGCTTTTGGGATTTACTAAATCCTAATAAAGCCATCAAACACCTTATTTGGATTTAATTGTTGACATGTCAAAAAGTTTTCAGGATTTAACCCCTTCAACATTCTGTTTTTTTAGTTTCAGTGGTTTGTATATTGCACTTTACAGTTTTCTCTTTCGTTTACTACATACTTGCTTTTTTTAGTTTCAGTAGTTTGTAAATTGTACGCATGCAAATTGGTGTTACCCTTTACTTTCACTGCTTGTTATTGTACTTTCAACTTTAATAATACTTAGATGTACTAATTAAATTTATGTTCTTGCTTGCATATGACTTTTGTATGAAGGGGCAAAATGCCCTCCATATGGGGATGTGTTGGCTTATGGACATTCGTAAATCGACGAAAAAGTAGACGTGGTCATATAGAGGACACCACTCGCACCGCCTCCAGTCCCAGCTGCCACACCAGTCCCTCCACCACTCACGAACCCAGGACCACTGACACAACTAGCCACGACACTATCACCACCACCACCAGCCATGGCACCACTACAGCTAACACTCGCGGCCACGACACCGCCACAGCCACCCGCCACGACTACGACTCCACCACAGCCACCATCCGAGACTGTGACATCTCAAACACCGTCAGCATCACTTGCTATGGATGTGTTGTCGAGTTCGAGTAGCACATACAATTGTCATCAACTCAGGACTGTGGTGAACACACGAGTTTTAATTTAATTCCCACATTAATTCCTTGTGTTCTTTTTATTTAATGGATAATTAATTGCATATTATTTTCAGATTTAGTCCATTTACTCAGGCCATCAATTTTATCAGAGAAATAATTCAAACCAAGTATGACCACTTGTACTTATCCTGGAAGGAGATCCCAATCACAATTCGGGATATGTGGTTTGGTGCGTTTAAGGTAAACCTTGAACACAATAATTATGTTTATTTATTTATTTTTATGAATATAGCAATTTATGAGTCATTTTACAGAAGCAATCGTCCTGCGCCCCCCC